GTAATGCATCACAACCATGAAATACTTGTTACCACTTTCACTTTCCGGAAACGGCCCCGCAACATCAATGGCTATCCTCTCCCATGGTGCACCAACATTGTACAATTTCAATGCGCCTCTACTACGAATTTGAGGTCCCTTAACAGCCGCGCAACTTTTACATTTGCGGCACCAGTCCTCGACACCGTCACGACAGTGGACCCAGTAAAACCGTTCTCGGATCTTCAGTAGAGTTCGTTTAATTCCCAGGTGGCCTCCTGAACAACCACTATGGTACAGCTGTAGACCATCCGGTACTTTAGCCTTAGGGACAACCATTTGCAAATGACAACTGTCTCCCCGACCATTTTCCCATTGACGGCACAGGACTCCATCCTGAATCAGCACGCTGTCCCATTGGGCCCAATAGCTTTTCGTGGTCGAACTCATTACTGAGACGTCGCTCCACTTGGGCTTAGGAGCACTGGCCTTCATCCATTCCAGAATCGGCTTAATGTCCGAATCTTCCTGCTGTGCATGTTGTAGGCTGTCCTTCCATTCATTGCTGAGCTGGTCTGTCCTGAGCATTCTCACAGATACCACTTCCTTACCCTCTTGCCTAGTACAATGCTTGCAATCTTCAGGGAAGGTCTTCTTGACAATGCATCTGCATTGCCATGAGATTTCCCGCTGCGATGTTCGATCACAAAGTCGTATTCCTGCAGTAGTTCAATCCATCTCGCAACTTGTCCTTCCGGATTTTTGAACTGCAATAGCTATTTCAGTGCAGCATGGTCAGTTCGTAAGTGGAATTTCCGCCCTAGCAGATATTTGCTAAAATGCTGCAAGGACTTTACCACAGCAAGCAATTCCCGTCTTGTGACACAATAGTTCCTTTCCGGCTTTGACAACGACTTGCTGAAGTACGCTATCACAATCTCTTGATTACCATTCCGTTGAGACAACACACCGCCAAGTCCTATATCACTTGCGTCTGTGTCAACTATGAATTCCTTGCCCGCATCAGGGTACCCCAAAATAGGTGTTTTGCACAGATGGTTCTTGAGCTCCTGGAATGTAATATCGCAACTTTCATCCCAGCAGAAATGTCGCTTCTCCTCGGTTAGCTTGTGCAGAGGTTTGGCTATATCTGCAAAGTTCTTCACAAATCGCCGATAATAAAAGCACAAACCCAAAAATCCTATAACCTGTGTCTTGTCTTTTGGGACCGGCCACTCCTTGACAGCAGCAATTTTCTCTGGATCCGTGCGGATACCTTCTTCCGACACTACATACCCCAAAAACTAACTTGCCGTTTGAATAGTGAGCACTTCTTTGGACTCAACTTGAGGTTGGCACTCTGGATCTTCATGAGCACGCGTTCCAGGTTTTGAAGGTGTTCCTCAAACGTACGGCCTACGACGATGATGTCATCCAAATAGACCAGACAGGCATCTCCAATTAGCCCGGTAAGTACAAGCTCCATCAACCTTTCAAACGTTGCTGGAGCATTGCACAATCCAAACGGCATGACTTTAAATTGCCACAGACCCTTTTCTGTGGAGAATGCAGTTTTCTCCTTGTCCTTAGGGTCAATTTCAACCTGCCACTTTTCAGATCCAGCGTACTAAACCACTTTACGCCTGTAAGCACGTCCAGCGTGTCATCAATTCTTGGCAAGGGATAGCTGTCCTTCTTCGTAACGTCGTTCAGGCGGCGGTAGTCAATACAAAACCGCATGCTGCCGTCCTTCTTCTTTACCAGCACCACAGGTGAACACCATGGACTAGATGAAGGTTCAATAACAACATCCTTCACCATTCCCTCAATCATGGTTTCCACTTCCTTTTCACGTGCTACAGGTAATCTTCTTGGCCGCTGACGAATAGGCAATTCTTGTCCTGTGTTTATTTTGTGTTGAACTAAGCCAGTCTTTCCTATGTCAGCTTCGTTTGACGAGAAAACATTGGCGTACTTGAGTAACAACTTCTTCGCCTTGACCATTTCATTCGGGGAGAGAACGCTGCGACAGTCTTCTAAAAGTGTGGTCACTCTCGTTTGTCCATCCTTGCTGGGGGTTCCAGTCGATAGATATTCGCACCGACGCAACCAATCCACTTCCTCACTAGTACCAACCAATGTGCCTTTTTCAATAATCTGTTCCTGATCACAAAGGGTCAGCACACGTACTCCTGAGATGTCGGCGGTTGTGACCAAGGTTCGAGCCACTTTCCATGGAAGGTCATTGTCTACCCTTTCCATGAGTACACAACTAAGAGTTTGCCCAGGATTCCGTGGAAGTCTAACCGGCACAATCGTTTCCGATCTCGGCGGAAGAACAATCTTCTTAAGGCTGTACACATTCCCTGGTAACGCCCCTTCGACGAAAAGTTCCTCTTGTCCACATTTCAAAATACCTTGCTTAACGTCGATCTCACAACAATTCTTCCTCATAAAGTCTAGGCCCAGGATGCAGTCGTCCATTATATCAGCCACGATGACATTATGCAGGTAGATCATGTTGCCTAGCTTCAACTCCATCTCTTTCTCTCCACGGACGGGTATGCGCTGACCGGTGGCTGTTACCAAATTAATGCGTTCTCGGTTGTATGCGGAGTCCCCAAGGAACCGACTTATAAGTTGAGAACTGACAACCGTGCGAGAGGCTCCAGTGTCTATGGTCAGTTTACACGGCGTTCCGTTGACTTCGCCCTTGATGATTAGGCTGTTCCCATCATGGGTTTGTGAGATTGAAATCCTTGGGACTCTTTTAACATCAGCCAGCACCCGCCCCGCAGTCCTGGCTTTTACTCGTTTCCCTGCTGCTGCTGGGCGGTGCTATTATCCGCACTACCCTCTCGAGATCGATCACCTTCCCTTTCTACAGTTCGTTTAGGGCAGCTGGATCGAAGATGGCCCCTTTCCCCACAGCCGTAGCACCTAGGGCTGTAGCCCTTATTGCGGTCCTGAACTGTAGCTGCTGCAACCTCCCTGATGCGGTGGGAACGATGATCCTGCCGCACTGCTTCCACCTCCAGTGCATGGGTCAAGGCGTCCTTAAGCGTCTCGTGGTGCCCGAGCCTCACAGCAGCTCTGACTTCAAGGTCGCGGATACCGTCGATGAATGTCTACACCAGGTTCCCTACAATGAGCGCAGGTACAGACTGGTACGCTTTTCGAACCAGCTTCTCCACCTCAAGGGCCCACTGCTGCAGGTTTTCGTTACTATCGCAGTAACGAAAACCTGCACGCGATCTTTAAGCTGCGCACGAAAGACGTGTTTCAGGTGAGCATCGCCTTATCTCGCCTCCAATGCCTCAAGTAGCTGCTCGTAAGTCACTTCCTTACCGAGAGCTTCCAGAACATTTAAGGCCTGGTCGCGTAGGCCTAGGCTCACCCTAGCAATCATGGCCTGACTTTTATTCCAGCCGTTCGTTTTCATGACAGCCTCGAACTGGATTTTGTAGGCCGACCAGGAAGAACTCCCGTCGTATGGCGGCACTTTGAATCCACGTAGCGAAGGTGTTGTAGCTACCACGGCAGCTGTAATTCCATCCCCAAGTTTGAGGACGTCCAGCGTTTTCTTCACATCAGCCATCACGTTGTCAACCCGATTGTTCACTTGGTCGATTCGGGTTTCAGCTTCCGACAGGCGGTTGTCATGTTGAGCAACCCTATCCTTCACCTCCTTTATCTCTTTCCCGAAGGTAGCGTGAAGGTCCTTCCTGAGGAGCATCTGTTCTTCCATACCGCGCTGCAGCTGCTCTTCCATACCGCGCTGCAGCTGCTCTTCCAGGGCGCTAGTGTAACTAGTGTTGCCATGTACAAGACATTAATAGTGGCGCGCAAAAATATTTTATTTCATGTCACTAAAGAGGCATAAAAAGTTAAAGTGATTTTTTTCGTGTGATGGAAGTCATGATAAATAGATTTATACAATGAAACAATCATTTTATTCCCTATTATTATATTTTAAAGCATTTCCAACTTAGTAACCTTCAACAACATTATCGATACTTTGGTATCGAAAGGGTAACATTCCTAAAACGATCTTATATTTTAAGCGTCACCTATTGGGGAATAGCTAAAATGTTGTCTTAATAAATGATAGCGTAGTTTTGCTATTTTTAGCTAGAGGGCGTCACACACGCACGAGCTTATAGTTTTTGTATATAAATTTTCCAAATGCCCGCTCTATAGTATATATATATATATATATATATATATATATATATATATATATATATATATATATATAATCTCTTTGCCGCAAACGCTTTGCCAGACTCGCGGTACTGGATTCGCCCATTGACGAAATTATATTTTTTCACAATTTCAACTTGCCAAAAGGACCTTCCCAAAATTCGTCGCCAGCTCTCAGACTATTTTATCTGACGATTTGAATGTCTATTTATATTTTACACTTTGGCAGTTTGGTTATTAAGCATTTGTTTATAAACGTAAAATTGTCCCTGAGAACACTTAAATTAATTTTTGTGCGGAGCAGAAAGGTAACTTGCTGATGCAAGATGATTGTCACAGGAATTAGCGCCCTCTCATGCCAAAATCGGAAACTTCCTACGGCGCTGTGACGCTCATTTTCGATTATCGTGCCTGACTTCGTTTTCATGATTTTTTTAGTTTTGGCTGAGGTTGGAAATAGGAACAAGGAAGGAGTTGCGAGTCTTAATAGGGACTTAGGTTATATTTAATTTGAAAAACTTAGTATTTATTTAAAAAAAAATTGGTATTAAAAATATCTTTGAGTATTAGATTAGATTTGAGATTATATTACCTAAATAACGGAAGGCGTGGGTCGCTACATACTAAAAAAACATGTGTGCGTGTTTAAACGTAAACTATACCGTATTCTATCATATTATAGATGTATATGTTTGTCTCTTTTTAGTGTCGCTTTTGCCTTTCTTTGCAATCTCAACGACTTTTAAGATGTTTTCATCTTATAAATAATATATATAATGATTGATATAGCGCGGTGGTCATGGTCCCGTTGTGTGCAGGTGCAGGCGGTGGGTCGAGGCGCCGGAGGTGCGCGGCGCGGCGCGCGCGGCGCACGCGGCCGCCCCGCTGCCGCTCCGCGACCGCCCCGCCGTGCTCATATATGGCGGGTGAGTGTACACACACACACGCGCGCATTCACACGCACACCCACACGCACGTGCACAGACGCACACACATACGCACACGCAGTAAGTCGCGGCGCCGGAAACATACAAAGATTGAGGAAATTTTGTTGAAGTGGTTTAAATATCAAAGTACAAATAATGTGCCAATAAATGCATCAATTCTTCAACAATAATTAAAAATTGAAAATTTTGCACAGCCGACTTCAATACAAGTTATTAAGAATAACTCAAAAACTATTGGCTTGACCTTGATCAAATTCATATGGGACCACACGCGAACTACCACCTTTCAAATAAAAAAGAACCCAATAAAAGTTATGAGGTAACACACATAAAAAAAAAATTACAGTTGAATTGAGTACCGTCTCCTTTTTGGAAGTCGGCAGAAAAGCAAATGATTTTGCTCAATGTTTGGGTGAAGATTGCTTTTGCTCATCTAGTTTGATTCAGCATTTCTGGACTCTGCACGGTATCGTCGGCGGGAAATGAGTTGTGAAGCTGCCAGTGTTGATAATGGTGCTTTAGATGATGTGATTGATGGTGATCAAGAGGACAATATTTCTTTTTCTCAATTATCCAAAATTTACCACCTGCTGTATTTACCACTGAAGCCGAGGAGTTTATTCTATTGCAATTTGTGCAACAGCTACGGAAGATGATATTGTACAAGAAGTTCAAGAGAAAAATTACGAGGAACAGGAAGAGACTGAAGAACAATTTACAGTGCCGACTTTAAATTATGGTCTCAATGCTGTTTGTTTATTACGAAATATTGTTCTTTTTAATGAACAGTTTCACATCCAGGGAAGTTATGACGATATTCTTATTAAAATCCAACGTGAACTATAAAATTCGTACGCAGGGCATAAGTGTTCCAAACAGACTAAAATTACAGATTTGATTTCAGCAATTCCCGTGGCTAACCTTTAATATAAAATTGATGATGAAAAAACGAGATGACGCATACATTAAAATGAGAAAAAGTAATAACGACATACATATTAAATACTATAAAGATCTAAAAATCTGCGTCAATAAAGCAATATTTAGAGAAAAACAAGCCTACTATAATTTTTATGTTAATCGTAATATAAATAATCCCATTTCAATGTGGAAACATATAAAGTCCAATGTTAAGATAAAACCAAAACACAATATCCCGATAGACTTGTTTAATGATCCAAATAAAATAAACGACTATTTTTTAAACGTGCCTGGAAATAGAAACGTCTCGTCATATTTAACGTACTTTGAGTTGCACTGCTGCGTTAATGACATATTTGAGATAAAGGAGGTAAATGAACTAGAGGTACTAAAATTCATTAAAAGTTTAAAATCTAAAGCCATAGGCATTGATGGGATTTCTCTCGATATGCTCCGTATGACCCTTCCGAAAACACTACCAACTATTACTGCTATGGTGAACAAATCCATTAACTCTAACACCTATCCGACATTATGGCAACATGCGTTAGTCAAACCCATACCTAAGAACTCAAATCCTTTGTCTGAAAAAGACCTTCGGCCCATCAGTATTCTCCCCTGTGTCTCTAAAATTATTGAAAAAATTGTCGCAGAACAGCTAACCATGTATTTAGATAGAAAAAAAATTCTACCGGAAATGCAGTCGGGATTTCGTAAGAACCATAGCACCACGACGGCCCTAGCCCAACTTACTGACGATGTACTAACCGCTCAAGATGAAGGAAAAGGCACAATACTAGTATTTCTAGATTTTTCTCGTGCATTTGACTGTATAAATGTTTCCCTTCTCTTATCAAAGCTTCATTACTATGGATTCAGTAGCAGCGCAGTACAATGGTTCGATAGTTATTTTAAAAACCGACTACAAACTGTAGAACTGAGCGATGACCGAGGAACATTAATACGTTCGCAATAAAAAAAAATCAAAGCCGGTGCGCCCCAGGGATCGAACCTGGCTCCAATATTGTTTTCAGTTTACAGTGCCGACTTAGTAAAAAACATTAAGCACTGTAAATTTCATTTATACGCAGATGATCTGCAAGTCTACATGTCATGTAATCCGCGTGATACTCAAGAAGTCGTTAATAAAATCAACGAAGACCTCGAAAGTATAGCCGCGTGGTGCGACTCAAACTGCCTTGTACTAAACGGAACTAAATCTAAACTACTAATTATGGGTTCTAAAAATCAAATAAAAAATATATCAGAAAGAGGGGCATGCATCCAAATTCGAGGGGAAATCGTAGAACGTGTAAATGAGATTCGCAATCTGGGCTTACTAATGGATGACAAACTACAGTTTGAGAACCACATACTAAGTACTAGCAGAAATTGCTTTTATAGACTTAAGGTTCTTTATCAAATAAGGGAGTTTTTAAATTCGGATATTCGGGTAAAATTGTGTGACACTCTTGTCCTTTCGAAATTTAATTATATGGACATTGTATATGGCCCGATACTTTTATCGCGGTCGCGACGTCTAGTGCAACGTGTTCAAAATGCATGTGCAAGATTTAGTTTTACAATACCGCCCCGCACGCACGTTACCCCTTACATTAACAATGCCAAAATGTTAAAAATGGAATATCGCAGAAAACTGCACATGGCAACTCTCCTATTCGGGGTATTAAAAAATAAAACACCTCCTTATCTTGCTGACAAACTCATATGGTCACGTGATGTAAAAACTTACAATACACGCACTAGAGGGAATACTCTCGTCGTGCCTCGTCACCGCACTCACGCTTTCCGAGGAAGTTTCAAATACGCCGCATCCAAGTGCTGGAACGATATACCGCCTCCTTTGCGAAATTTGAAAGCAGTACACACATTTAAAAATAAATATAGAACACAATTACTGCAAAGTCAGATTAACTTTGATCAAAGTTTATAACGCTTTGCACGATTAGTACCTCATCGTCATAGATTATTAACAACGGAGCATTAAAATCGTCCTTTTGAATGCGGCTTTTGTCTTCTTATATACTTTTATATTCTTCAATAATTACATATAACAACATAAAACATAAAGCAACATAAACGGGACGTGCTGTGTCGAAGTGGCATTCGACTTTGAACTCTACTCTCTCCCTCTCACTTAAGATAGTTACTGTTTCTTTCCCCCTTGTTGTGCATAATTCTGTAATGTGTATACGTATAGCACTGATTTCGGTAAGTCACTGGTTGGTCACACTGAAAATCAGCGCCATGGAGAGAAAAAAAAAATTCATGGCATTATGCTGAGTGTGCTCCTGTTCCCAGATGACGCCTTGACACATATGAGTATTGGTATTGTATAGTTTGTAATATGTAGTATATTGTAATTTGTATTGTATAGCCAATATTATTTGTAAATTATGTGTTTCTTTTTTATGTTATCTGTGATGGCGTCATTTTGGAGAATAAACCTTTCTTTCTTTCTTTCATTTTATGAATACAGAAAAATGATAAAGTTCTTTCATATTATACGTTGTATGTGAAATATTTATATGTACCTACACATTCTTTGCATGAATCATAAAAACTTTTATGAATTTTTTTTTTAGTAAAAACTTCGTTGTTGTTTTTTTTTAATAGACATTATTTTGACTGTTGCAATGACGGTTCCGCACGTGTACTGAACAACTATTTTTAATACAGTTGCTCAAAAAGTCGCGTATTGCAGGGACATATAGCGTTCGGGATGTGGGCTATTACATACTCGTGCTTTTTCTTTACCTTTTCCGCACTCGTGCGTTCTCTTTCTCAACTGTCAAAATAATGTCTATTAAAAAAAAACAACAACGAAGTTTTTACTAAAAAAAAATTCATAGAAGTTTTTATAATTCATGCAAATATTTCTAAAAAGAAGCTAGTTTTATAGCTATATATATATATATATATATATATATAGATATGTCGGAAGTATAGTGGGTATAGTACAAAGACTAATTTTGTAGTTAGGAATAATAATTAATTCGTTATGAGTCGAGGATAAACTAGTAACGGAATACGACAAGTGTACCGTTCCACGTCAGAGCCAAGACTGTCTTAACGGCGGCCGCTCAGTCCGTTTTATACAAGCAGGACGGGCGGTAAAGCAGGTGCGATGCCGCAGGTGTGCGGTACACGTGTCGTTTACAAGAATTCTGTCTTGCTAGACCGACGCCACCGCATCTACAACGGTGCAGGTGCCGTCAGATATATATAGATATCAAAATAATACTGTCTGCATTTTGATTCTTAATCGAGGATAGATGTAGATATCTATGGGTCACGCCATCCACTTGCCATCAAGTGGACTACATGCACTTTCGTAACCCTGAGAGTAACATTATTTTGGGTAAATTACATTCTGACCGTGTAAGAACATCCATTACTGTGTCGTAAGAGGCGACAGAGGGAAACAAATCGGTAGATGGCCAGCAGCGTCTTTCTAATAACAATGAAAAATAAAAAAAAACTACTTTAATTTTTAAGTTGTATAACTATGTATAATTCTACATAATGTAATTAACTTCACATTTGAGAAGTTTATATTGCAATTTAGTTAAAGTATAATGTGATTTTCGCGCACATTGTGATAACGCTTAATATTAAAAAAATAAATTTAAAATATTATTAATCGAGAAAATATGTGCATCCTCTTCATCATCATTATCATTAGAGCCCTTTCCAAGTCCACAGTTGAGCATACACCGTTCTCAAGGAATTCCACAAAGCGCGGTCTCGAGCCGTTTGCATCGATCTATTTCCTGTATTTTGTTACCGTGAGGTAATCTGTGTGGTGGTTTGTGAGCGTCGGTTGGTTACTGTGCAGGTTCGATGGGCGGCTGCGGTCGGACGCGCTGTCGCTGTCGGCGGGCGAGGCGTGCGGCGCGCTGCGCGAGGCGGCGGCGTGCCTGCGCGCCGCGCACTCGCACGCGCGCGCCTGCGGCTGGCGCGCCCAAGACCGCTCCTGTGTGCCCGTGCGTACACCTTATTAAACGTGCTCGAGAATCTATTAACACTCTCACCAATGCTAACGTACTAGGCGTGCTTTTCGACTCGTGACTATCGTTTGTACAACACGCGTCCGATATCTCTCAAAGAGTGACAAAGGGATTCGGTAAAATGACTCGCGTATCGACATCATCATGGGGTGTCCGATACCTGAGGTCAAAAAATTATCTATCGAAGAGTGTTTGTATGCACGCTTACGTACGCAGCAGAGTGCTGGTACGAGAGTGCGAACATGTACACAGTTTGTAGTTCACTACTGAGATCGCAACAAACCGCCATTATATTGTTAACTACGGCATACCGATCCACTAGCACGGCGACCTTACCGGTGCTAGCTGGTGTTCTCCCTGCTGACCTAGAAGTCATCCGTGCTGGTAGGATGGGTATAGCACGTATGACCGCACGCAAAGAGGAGTTGAGCAGACGGAAGCGCGAAATTTGGACTGAGGTGATCGGTGTTTAGCAGGATCGATGGATGAATGACACGAAAGGACGCGAGCTCTATCGATTTTTCCCAGAGGTGGCGTTGAGACCCAGGTATACTTGGGTCTCACCGGACTATAAAACCTTTCAAATTCTCACCAAACATGGAGGCTTTCGGAAGAGATTCTGTGAAATGCGACTGTGGATGACTAAAGGATGACGTTCACCATGTTCTATATGAATGTCCTCTGTATGACGACCTAAGAGCGAAAATGATTGATGGACTAGTTCTTTCGGTTAAGGAACCGATCTATTACTCGGATCTCGTCAGCGGCGGGGAGAACTACGGGCTATTGCTGTTGCGCGAGTTTGCGCATAGATGGCATGACCGCAGGAGAAGGCAAGAAAGAATGCTGGCAGAAAGGCCTGACGACGTAGGCGTTAGTGTGTCGTCAGCACCAGAAGGGGGAGAATGACTTTAAAACTGGAACAAGGTATAGGCGAAATATTTGTAGGGAGTCAAGGAAGTGCGCGCGGGAAAGAGCCACATGCAAGTACCGCGCGCATCTTCCGAGATTCGACCCGTATGACATGAGGGTCGGTGGGAGGAGATGGTGGGTTGCCTGTGCATATACGCACTTCTGCACCTCCGCGTTTCTGCGCCCCCACACTTCCGCACCCTCATATTTCCGCACCCCCACACTTCTTCACCCTCACACTTCTTCACCCTCACACTTCTTCACCCTCACACTTCCTCACCCTCACACATCGTCACCCTCACACTTCCTCACCCTCACACTTCCGCACCCTCACACTTCGGAACCATCACACTTCTACACCCCCACACTTCCGCAACCCCACACTTCCAAATCATCACACTTCCGAGCCCCCACATAATACTTCCGCACTCTCACACTTCCGCACCCTCACACTTCCGCACCCGCTCACTTCCGCACCCGCACACTTCCGCACCCGCACACTTCTGAACCATCATACTTCCGCACCCCCACACATCCGCACCCCCACACTTCGGAACCATCACACTTCCACACCCCCACACTTCCGCACCCTCATACTTCCGCAACCTCACACTTCAAAATCATCACACTTCCAAGCCCCCCATATAACTTCCGCTCGCCCACACTTCCATACCCCCATACCTCTAAACTTCTACACCAAGACTCACTTAAGATTCCATCCCTCCACACTCACACCTCCACACCCCCACATCTCCACACACCTACATCTTCACACCCGCACATCTCCACACCCCACTTCTCCACATTCCCACATCTCCACACCTCTCACTGCCACATCCACACAATTCCACACTAATACACTTCCTCTCTTAACATTTATAGCCCTATAATTCTACTACACACCCGCACTACACCTACACTTTCACCACAACACTTCTGTTCCCTCAAACCTTGACATCCCAAATCTCCATATCCTCACACTTACAGCTCTGCACACCCTCACACCTACAGCCCTCCACATGCCAACACTTAAAATTGCTTAAAAGCTCCACTCTCAACCTTTCTAATTTACAAACCGGAAGATAAAAATCTTAAGAATGCACTAAACAACACGTTATTCAAATGATTCGCTCATACTCAGTATCGTGGGCGTGATCTAACGAATGTGCACCATGGTATCACTTTGATCCTTTTAAATCGAGTAACTTTGTGACTATCTAGAATAATCATCATCATCATCATTACAGCTCTTCACAAGTCCACTGCTGTACATAGGCCTCCCCCAAGGAATGCCACAAAGCACGGTCCTATCTAGATTATCTAGAATGCTTAAATGAAATCGATAAGAGTTTTATCCGTAATTAAAACTATATACTCCTATTGAATTATCGCTCATGTCTCGACATCCAAGGTCGCAACTAAAACTAGCTAGTTGCGACTATGGATGATTGGACGATTAAACAAAATTAATTAAAATAACTAACTATAAAAGTATTATGCTTTTTGATAGTAAACGAAGATAAAGTAAATAATTCTATCACGTATTATTTACAGTTGGAGGAAATCGGCTGGACAAAATCGTTTGACGGCACTGTTAAAACATGCGAAGTTGAACCAGTGTTTGGTAAGTCATCATTTTATTTTGTAGTTAATAATTAGTAATAGTAATCATTTTATGAAGTACAAGTAGTTCACCCGGCCAAGTAAATATCACATCGTGTTTTAAAAAAGGTACTTGTGCGCTGTTAGTCGACTTTGTCGGGCGTCACCTCTATCGCTCGAAGTACTGTTCAATATTTTTTAAAATTGGTCTTACAATAGGCGAGGCGAGTATGTGCGAAGCCGTTCCGTTTGCAGCGTCTAGTATACTGGGTGGCGCCTAGGTTATCACGTTAAATAGCACAGCAGTTAATACAATTTGATATATGTCTGTTGAAATAATAAAATAAACAATAATAAAAACAAATAAAAAATGCATCTTTCAAACAAATAAAATGCGTAAAAAAAGTACCCGAATGCATAATTGATATCGTCGCATGATATTATTTCGAACTTTTTGAAGTAGGTCACCATTGGCTGCAAAATTTTTTATTTTGTGGAAAGCCCGCATTATTCTTATTTTTAAGTCCTCGACAGTCGTTACTTCAGTAGAGTACACCTCATTTTTTATGTAACCACATAAAAAGAAATCTAACGATGTTAGATTCGGAGACCGTGCTGGCCACCGAGAAGGTCCGTATCGGCCAATCCATTTCTCTCCGAACATCTCAGTGAGGTGCTGCCTGGCAGCCACCACTGAATGAGCAGGTGCTCCATCAAACTGATACCATAACCGGCTATTGGCCCCCAACGATAGTCCATCAACGTAATCCGCCACTGCGCCGTCAAGCAGTTCCAAAAATTTAGGCCCATTAAGGTTGCCTTCGATAAACACGGGACCAATTATTTGATCTCCGTGTATTCCAGCCCAAACATTAACGGCAAATATATATTGATGCACAGACTATCAACACAGTTGCCGATTTTTTTGACTCCAGTATCGGAAGTTCTGCCGATTCCGTATTCCGTTCCGCGTGAATGTCCTCTCGTCAGTCCACATTACGTTTGCTAAAAAGTTAGAGTCATTAGCTACTTTGCTCAGGAGCCATTCGCAGTATATCTATATCTCTATCTAATAAAGCATGTACTTTTACGTATTTGAACGGCCGTTGCTTGTTTTTTTTTAAATATTCTGTGAACAGACTTGTGGTGTACACAGAATTGGCGAGCCACGGCGACTCGCGGAGGAATTTCAACCTGACGCGGGATCAAATGTTCGCCGTCACGTAATCTTTGGACAGCCCGTATAAAAATCCGTGAGTCTGTAGGACATACACGTGTGGTATTATACCTCTCTCTGTATGTTCGTAATGCCAGGGACGCGTTTTGGTGGCATTCTCCGTAAATCAAAACCATATCGGTGTATTCCAATAACGTAAAATTGATACGAGGCATTTTGAAACTTAAAAAAGTTATACGTTAAAAAAAATAAAAGCGTCAAATTGCGCACGGGCTGTCACACCACTAAGTTATTAAATATGACTATCTATTATTAACGTGTCCTTCACAAATAAAAAAAATACAATACAGTAAAAGAAAGCGTCCAATTTCGCACAAACAGTCACACTACCTTCTTTACACAATTATTATTATAGTATTAACGTGTCCTATCACCAACAAATCAAGAAACTTATGAAAATATCCACAAACTAAAAAAAACAACAATTTCAACTTTAAATTAAAAGGAAGTGTACGCGAAAAACTAAAATTAGGTCAAGCGACTTGTTACGGCCTACGGCTGCTCCTATAAAGGTCAAATCCTCTGGGGCCCATGAGCAGAAAACTTCACGAGCAGACGCAGGTCGGGCCTCAATATGGCCGCGTGGAATTTCCTATCACAATAAACTATATGGGAGCAAACTAGAAAGCAAAGGTACTTTACCTGTATCAGGAGCTAACTTCGCTCCAAGGCTTGGGCAGGCCGTGTGTGTAATGGTAGATAGCGAGTCGTGTACAGTGAGGTGTGAATGTGTGGGGCCTTGGCAAGCATAGGCGACCAGCAGCGGCCGAGTTCCAGGCTGCTCCAAAATGCTGCATCGCTCCAGACTGCTTCAGCGCCAGACCACTTCTTTCTTCACTGTCACTATTCAGTCTCTTAGCTTCATTGTACATTTAACTAACTTCAATTCGCCTAATTCCACACTCATCGCAGAATCGAACACGTGATATCCGACACGGCAAGGATAGTAGCACAAAATTCGACATTGAATGTCCCGGATTCACTTATCACAAATTATAAATTCGGCACCAGAATAACACGTCGCGCCAGAGTCAAAGCCTCGTTGACACGCAAATTAATTTAACTAGGCAACCAAAACACAAAAGGCACTAACGCGACTACCCAATTATAACGATATCCTCATCTAGCTATCTAGATCCACGACGGGCCACGATAGGTAAGAGGGCCAGACGGTCTCCCCGCCTCGTGGCTGGCGGGGCACCGACGTTTCGCCCACTCGTCGAGCGACTGACTCCCACGCAGCCGCGCACGGCCGCCCCACCTCGGCGCTTATCTGACCTACATACCATCGGGTGAGGCGCCAGCTCGAACGCAATTGGGTGGCGTTCAAATATGACCAAATTTGGGCATAAACAAATCCCCGTCCCGGACATAAGGACTTATGTCCGCGAGCAAACCGACAAGCGGGACAGGGTCGCGACGGCACGTTGCAAGACCGAATCTACACCAAAACTAGGCCACCTTAGGCACCCCATCAGATATTGCAACCCTAGTCACCGCCTCAAATATAGCCCCAATGTGGCAAGCCGGAGGGTCAACCTCCGCTGGATGCCCCTGGTGAGCATCACAGCACCTTAACAAGTCCTGTACTGGACAGAAGTCCGACGACCTCTTTCAACACCTATCTGTGCCCCTATGATTCGTTCCGCAATCCGACCGGATCAGGTCTGCAAACAGCGACACGACACGAAGCGGCCCAGCGTGGCCTCCTAAGCTTCAGTGCAGAGAGCACCCACAAATTCCACATGAACGTCGTCTGTGGAGAGCCAAACGAAACGCACAGATAGTATGACTTTTCAAACAAGTAGGCATAACCAAGCCATCCACCATATAATCATTTACTCAAATAGTGCGGCAGCTGATTTCAATCTGATAATGTCCTATTACCTGTAAATATTAACAGTGGTAGTGCCACGCGGCAGCTTTTGCTGTCGCACGGATGGGCCGGCTCGAACCGGGGTAGTACCACGACCTCACAGAAAACCAGCGTGAAGTAGAGGTTTACCTCTGCGTTTCGCTTGGTGAGTGCAGGTGGCCGGAGGCCCTTTTTACTGGAAATGAGGCATTCCATCTTAGTCCTCACGGGTGACAACGCATCTACATTTTGATTTGTAACAGAGGATAGATGTAGATGTCTATGGGCCGCAGCAACCACTTACCATCAGGTGGACTGTGTGCTCGTTTGTCACCCTCATCCTATAAAAAAAAAATGTCCAAACTAGCTAGCCCTTTAGACAAGTAGTCCTAAGCTCATATTTCAACTAATTTTCAAAAGCATCAATGTTCAACTACAGAATTAATTCAAACAAATTAATCACCGATGCACATAGGTCAAACTGATATATTAAACAAAACGATAAACGTAAGAGACAGCCCTATTTCTCATTTCAAATAAATATCTTAGACAGTGCCAACAAAATATGAAACCCAAAAGAGGATTGAATCTTATTCCTTTAGGCACAAATAGGGTTATCCAATTTCAATTTTCTTTTCAACAAAACACCGTGACAGAACACATCCACAAAACATATATACAAATATCCAAATAACGCGTCATTCAATTTAATTCAAATTTTCCTTTCAGCAAAACAGACGCAATTATCAAATACATTACAAAACATATGCACAAGCATTCAAAAAGGCACATAATTCAATTTCAATTTTCCGCGCAACAAACAAACACAGTTATCAACTACAATTACAAACATAATATGCACAAGCATTTAAAGGTTACACAATTCAATTTCAATTTTCTGTGCAACAAAACAAACACAGTGATCAAACACATTTACAAAAACATATGCACACGTATTCAAGGAGTACATAAATTCAACCCTTTTAATTACAACCGCCATAATATGAAACATTTCGCGGAAGGCACAAACCATTTTAAATTTTAATTCAAAGCATCGTTAATTAAGTGCTCGACCAAAACCAAATCTAACAATCCCTAACAGCGCAATTCAACGCTCCCATGGAGCCCTAGTCTTCCCAACAACTAAGCAGAGGCTAACCTGGGTGTGAACCCGGAACAAATAAAGCGCGTACCGTCAAACACTCGACGCTCGGGCGGTACACCCTCACTGAGGCCGTCGACAAGAGAACAGATTGACATGTGAGCTGTTGACGGCTCACAGAATTAGTGGAGACGGCCGTGGTGGGAGCTAGGGCGGCAGCTACCTAGCTGGGCTGCCTACATCAAAGGGGGAACGGTAGTATCTCGAGCCGCGGCCACTCAGCTGACGAGGGCGAGAAGGGTCTAGCTGACCGCTGAGTGGCAGTGAAGTCCCTCTCAACATACTGAGGGAGGGGGCGACGACCCCCCGCCCCTGTGGGAACAACCCTCCGAAAGGGGCCACGGCCGAGCGCTCCCGCCCGTGGGAGTCGAGGGCCCGGAGAACCCTGAGAGGAAACGCCGTTCGCACCCAGACACAAAACGGCATGGCGATAGCCCTAGCCGCGCGATGGCATTACTTCTAAATATAAATTACTACGCGGCTCAAATTCAAATTACAAATTAACAAATAACAAATACAAAAAGAATTAACGAGTAACAAAATACCGTTCCTATCAAATCAAGTTAAATACAATTACACAAATACAAATTACCATTTATTAGATTTATATTATTACCATTTATTAGATTAAATACGAACCACAATACAATAAAGATACACATCCCGTTCGATCTACAAAAAATGCCTCGCTCAGACAACCGACCCTTTGATAAGTAGTCAACCATAATTATACGACAACGATAATTATCCGATTACGTGATAATAACCATCTACCTACCCAACGCATCTCTCTAGCAAACTCCCGCTTGCGCGACCTACGGGCGTGGCATTCGCAACTACCCACCAACAACAAAAAAAAAAAAAGCAAGCAACAAAGCAATAAAAGAAAAGAATTTTATTTTTACGTATTACGGCCGGGCGTGATTGTAGACACAAAATTAAACCAATCAAACCAACGCTCCTTGCCTCCAAAATTGTTTAATTTTTATAAAACACTACGGTCGGGCTCGACCGGGAATCGATCCCGGAACCACGCTCTGCTACCACTTTGTTACGGCCTACGACTGCTCCTACAAAGTTCAAATCCTCTGGGGCCCATGAGCAGAAAACTTATCGAGCAGATGCAGGTCGGGCCTCAATATGGCCGCGTGGAATTTCCTATCACAATAAACTATATGGGAGCAAACTAGAAAGCAAAGGTACTTACCTGTATCAGGAGCTAACTTCGCTCCAAGGCTTGGGCAGGCCGTGAGTGTGTGTAATGGTAGATAGTGAGTCGTGTACAGTGAGGTGTGAATGTGTGGGGCCTTGGCAAGCATAAGCGACCAGCAGCGGCCGAGTTCCAGGCTGCTCCAAAATGCTGCATCGCTCCAGACTGCTTCAGCGCCGGACCACTTCTTTCTTCACTGTCACTATTCAGTCTCTTAGCTTCATTGTACATTTAACTAACTTCAATTCGCCTAATTCCACACTCATCGCAGAATCGAACACGTGATATCCGACACGGCAAGGATAGTAGCACAAAATTCGACATTGAATGTCCCGGATTCACTTATCACAAATTATAAATTCGGCACCAGAAATACACGTCGCGCCAGAGTCAAAATACGCCTCGTTGACACGCAAATTAATTTAACTAGGCAACCAAAACACAAAAGGCACTAACGCGACTACCCAATTATAACGATATCTTCATCTAGCTATCTAGATCCACGACGGGCCACGATAGGTAAGAGGGCCAGACGGTCTCCCCGCCTCGTGGCTGGCGGGGCACCGACGCTTCGCCCACGCGTCGAGCGACTGACTCCCACGCAGCCGCGCACGGCCGCTCCACCTCGGCGCTTATCTCACCTACATACCATCGGGTGAGGCGCCAGCTCGAACGCAATTGGGTGGCGTTTAAACATGACCAAATTTGGGCATAAACACGACTCATGAACCATCCCCAAGAACGCCGGCGTCGGACTAAGTGACTTACTGTCTTACTTATCGTTGCACGCGCCAGTCGACAACACGCACCCTCCCGACACCCCGTCCCAATTCTTGTCACATCGCGCACAGAGAATGATGCCTTAAGTCGTCCAATTCAAGTAAATTTTTCGCTTGAATTTGTTTTCACACACCCGCAACGCGCGGTCTCATTGTTTTTAATTTCGCGCATAAGAATTATGCCTGATATTGTTAGCCATAAGTACATTTTTTGCTTTATTTATGACTTTATTTGAGTATTTCGAATTGGCAACGTTGAACTAGGTATCTTCGCCTTCACGGGCCCTGGGTCTTTGAACTTCTAGTATTCATCAGGTGATATCTAATGCATTTACATGATGTTGTTTAATATTAAAACAAAAAAAAGCGACTAGTATGTCTTTTCATTTAACGTGATAACTTTATCGTCACTTTGTAGACGTATAACAAGCCTACCACAGAAACTGTCGTAAAACGTTATTTTCTGTAGAACGATTTGGACACATATACAAGCATTGATTATACATTTTTAAATCTCATTAAGCAACTTACCTATTCCAGAATTTTACAACAACGTATAACAAGGGATGAAGGGAGAGTTCTGTCATAGAAATGTAATTTTTCTTCTACCTTCAGCTCGCAAATGTCAACTGCTTGAGAGGCCTCGCCCGTTGTGGGAAGGTTTTCTTTAATCCTCGCTTGGCAGGCACTTTAACAATCGTAGTACAAGACGCCTCGCATCTTTGACGCTACTACAAGTCCTTAGTCTGGGTATTTTATGTACCTACGAATATCTATTTTGAAAAACTCCTATATCTAGCATTGAATTATATAGTTTCGATAGGTCGGTTAACGCAACGGTTAAGTAAGTGTTTATTAAGTGTGTGATAGTGGCGTTCCACTGTAACAACTTTTGCGTGGACAAAAAGTAATGATTCCATGCCTGGATATTTGTTTATGTGAAATCTACATAGAAGTGGGAGATGAAGATTTTATTTATTGTTGGTGTAAAGACGAAAAGCTGTGCTCGTCCGCGGAGTGGTGCGACGCGTGCACGGCGGTGGGCTGCGCGTGGTGCGGCGCCTGCTACCCGTCCGCGCAGTACTGCCTGCGACACACGCACCAGGTACGAACGCACGCACTCACACACGTACGCACTAACTTACGTCCGCGCAGTACTGCCTGCGACACACGCACCAGGTACGAACGCACGCACTCACACACGTACGCACTAACTTACGTCCGCGCAGTACTGCCTGCGACACACGCACCAGGTACGAACGCACGCACTCACACACGTACGCACTAACTTACGTCCGCGCAGTACTGCCTGCGACACACGCACCAGGTACGAACGCACGCACTCACACACGTACGCACTAACTTACGTCCGCGCAGTACTGCCTGCGACACACGCACCAGGTACGAACGCACGCACTCACACACGTACGCACACACTTACGTCCGCGCAGTACTGCCTGCGACACACGCACCAGGTACGAACGCACGCATTCACACACGTACGCACACACTTACGTCCGCGCAGTACTGCCTGCGACACACGCACCAGGTACGAACGCACGCACTCACACACGTACGCACACACTTACGTCCGCGCTGTACTGCCTGCGACACACGCACCAGGTACGAACGCACGCACTCACACACGTACGCACAAACTTACGTCCGCGCAGTACTGCCTGCGACACACGCACCAGGTACGAACGCACGCACTCACACACGTACGCACACACTTACGTCCGCGCAGTACTGCCTGCGACACACGCACCAGGTACGAACGCACGCATTCACACACGTACGCACACACTTACGTCCGCGCAGTACTGCCTGCGACACACGCACCAGGTACGAACGCACGCACTCACACACGTACGCACACACTTACGTCCGCGCAGTACTGCCTGCGACACACGCACCAGGTACGAACGCACGCACTCACACACGTACGCACACACTTTCGCCCGCGCAGTACTGCCTGCGACACACGCACCAGGTACGAACGCACGCACTCACACACGTACGCACACACTTACGTCCGCGCAGTACTGCCTGCGACACACGCACCAGGTACGAACGCACGCACTCATATACGTACGCACACACTTACGTCCGCGCAGTACTGCCTGCGACACACGCACCAGGTACGAACGCACGCACTCACACACGTACGCACACACTTACATCCGCGCAGTACTGCCTGCGACACACGCACCAGGTACGAACGCACGCACTCACACACGTACGCACACACTTACGTCCGCGCAGTACTGCCTGCGACACACGTACCAGGTACGAACGCACGCACTCACATACGTACGCACACACTTACGTCCGCGCAGTACTGCCTGCGACACACGCACCAGGTACGAACGCACGCACTCACACACGTACGCACACACTTACGTCCGCGCAGTACTGCCTGCGACACACGCACCAGGTACGAACGCACGCACTCACACACGTACGCACACACTTACATCCGCGCAGTACTGCCTGCGACACACGCACCAGGTACGAACGCACGCACTCACATACGTACGCACACACTTACGTCCGCGCAGTACTGCCTGCGACACACGCACCAGGTACGAACGCACGCACTCACACACGTACGCACACACTTACGTCCGCGCTGTGCTGCCTGCGACATACGTACTAGGTACGAACGCACGCACTCACACACGTACGCACACACTTACGTCCGCGCAGTGCTGCCTGCGACACACGCACCAGGTACGAACGCACGCACTCACACACGTACGCACATACTTACGTCCGCGCAGTACTGCCTGCGACACACGCACCAGGTACGAACGCAGGCACTCACACACGTACGCACACACTTACGCACACACTTACGTCCGCGCAGTACTGCCTGCGACACACGCACCAGGTACGAACGCACGCACTCACACACGTACGCACACACTTACGTCCGCGCAGTACTGCCTGCGACACACGCACCAGGTACGAACGCACGCACTCACACACGTACGCACAAACTTACGTCCGCGCAGTACTGCCTGCGACACACGCACCAGGTACGAACGCACGCACTCACACACGTACGCACACACTTACGTCCGCGCAGTACTGCCTGCGACACACGCACCAGGTACGAACGCACGCACTCACACACGTACGCACACACTTACATCCGCGCAGTACTGCCTGCGACACACGCACCAGGTACGAACGCACGCACTCACACACGTACGCACACACTTACGTCCGCGCAGTACTGCCTGCGACATACGCACCAGGTACGAACGCACGCACTCACACACGTACGCATACACTTACGTCCGCGCAGTACTGCCTGCGACACACGCACCAGGTACGAACGCACGCACTCATACACGTACGCACACACTTACGTCCGCGCAGTACTGCCTGCGACACACGCACCAGGTACGAACGCACGCACTCACACACGTACGCACACACTTACATCCGCGCAGTACTGCCTGCGACACACGCACCAGGTACGAACGCACGCACTCACACACGTACGCACACACTTACGTCCGCGCAGTACTGCCTGCGACATACGCACCAGGTACGAACGCACGCACTCACACACGTACGCATACACTTACGTCCGCGCAGTACTGCCTGCGACACACGCACCAGGTACGAACGCACGCACTCATACACGTACGCACACACTTACGTCCGCGCAGTACTGCCTGCGACACACGCACCAGGTACGAACGCACGCACTCACACACGTACGCACACACTTACATCCGCGCAGTACTGCCTGCGACACACGCACCAGGTACGAACGCACGCACTCACACGTACGCACACACTTACGTCCGCGCAGTACTGCCTGCGACACACGCACCAGGTACGAACGCACGCACTCACATACGTACGCACACACTTACGTCCGCGCAGTACTGCCTGCGACACACGCACCAGGTACGAACGCACGCACTCACACACGTACGCACACACTTACGTCCGCGCAGTACTGCCTGCGACACACGCACCAGGTACGAACGCACGCACTCACACACGTACGCACACACTTACGTCCGCGCAGTACTGCCTGCGACACACGCACCAGGTACGAACGCACGCACTCACACACGTACGCACACACTTACGTCCGCGCAGTACTGCCTGCGACACACGCACCAGGTACGAACGCACGCACTCTCACACTTACGCACACACTTACGTCCGCGCAGTACTGCCAACAGCACACGCACCGGGAACGCACGCATGTACTCGCACACGTACGCACGCACTTACGTCCGTGCAGTACTTCTTCACCATTTGCTGCCATTTTTAATTTCTTCACATTTTTGTTGTTTATTTATTCTGAACTTTCTCTGCAAATTTGCCCGGTTATTGCAAAATAACCCTGTATAAATTAGAATTTTTTTAATTTATATGTATAAAGAAATATCCAGGTTTTTCTGCTGGTCATAAATACTTTACAGGTGATTTTAAAGTTGTGAAGAAGGTTCTTGGCAAGCATTAAGACAAGTAATAGTTGTCACGCTTGGCAACTGCAGTTTTTTATTTTTAGTCGTTATTAGGAAGACACTGCTACCCATTTCATAATTTGTTTCCCTCTTCCATATCATCTTACGACACCCACCGGGTTATTCTTATACGAGGTTGACACTGAAAGTTCTTCGAAAATCAAAAACTGACCAAACTAGCAAGTCATTAGTTATATTATATCTTTTCAAAATAGTGTCCATTGTTGCGTAATGGCCTGTCCTTCCGAAGAACGAGGCCACTATCTTTTTTCCCACGCCTCGACTTCTCTTCACTTAAATTGGTAACTCCTCGGAAGGAATCAACCAGACAGCAGACTGTTTCTTAGTTTATAAATCCAGCTGTCGTCACCCGTAAGTATGTCGAACACAGCATTTGAGTCACCTCCGTTATACCTCTGCACAATTTCACGACACCAATCGACGGAGTTTTTGGGCCTCTGTCAAATTATGAGGTATCCACCGGGCACAAAGCTTCCTGACCACTAAATGTTTATGGAGGATTTTGTGCACTTGACTCACACTATACCGATGCCTAAGCTTGAATCTCCTGATAAGTCACTCTTTTGTCAGTCTCTATCATACGCCGCACAACACTGATGTAATCTTCAATCGTCGCCGTAGAAGGCCGTCCCTCACGCAGATCATCGGTGAGATTAGTGCGACAACTTTAAACTCATTAAACAAGTTGTAAATAGTGGCACGAGATGAGGCTTCATCGTGAGAGGCCAATCGAAGTCTATCATAACTTTCTTGTTGACTTAAATGACATCGAAAGTCATAAAAAATTATTGTACGAAAATTTTCTCGCGTTAAATTCATGCTCACACACAGAATATTTTCAATTTGCTGCCAAATCGTAAACAAATGACAAATTAATAAAATACATACACATACATATTGGCAAAGAGTTCCATTTTCAAAATATGAACATATTTTTTTTATTACATCGTTTACAAGTGGCCAGTTCTAAAAACTTTCAGTGTCGCCCTCGTACCGCCATAACACGGTAGTGGCGGTGTAAGGATTTGCACTACATCTACATAGGTAATACGTTTCTTTTGTTCGCACTGAATTGTGATATCACTTATATTTTCATTGACGTTCATTATTTTGTGGCATTCCTTTGCTGAGCTTTGTTCAGAAATGTACTTGTGAAGGACTGTAATGATGATGATGATGATGATATTATGACACTAATAATTAAATTATTTAAGTTTTCAGGGATAGATCGGTCTTATTGATTTCATATTTTACTCATGTACTTTTTGTAAATAAATGCTAATATAGAACCTTCATAATAGAGAGCGCTAACCGTCAATTTGTAGGTACGCGCAGACAATTGTTCCATAACCCTCTCTGTAGTGAACAGTTCTGTTACAAAAAAAAAAATATTATGGGCTGTTCGCACGATTATTTTTGCACATCGTTATTTGCTTCGCAGCTTACTGCTGGAAGCTATCAAATAGCTTCTAACTGTTTGGAAACTATAGTCGTGGTCAAAACGACGGAAAGAATTTCATCTAGGATCATTATTCTATGCATCTAACAAATTTATAAGCATTGTTCTTTTTATGTGTGAAGATGGCGTTGTCCTTGGAAGAGTGTGGAGCCGCTGGCGCCGAGCCGCCACGCGACGCCTGTGCGCGCTTCCACTCCTGCACCGCCTGCCACGCGCACCGACACCACCACGCACACGTGAGTACACACCGCCTCGCGCACCGACACCACCACGCACACGTGAGTACACACCGCCTCGCGCACCGACACCACCACGCACACGTGAGTACACACCGCCTCGCGCACCGACACCACCACGCACACGTGAGTACACACCGCCTCGCGCACCGACACCACCACGCACACGTGAGTACACACCGCCTCGCGCACCGACACCACCACGCACACGTGAGTACACACCGCCTCGCGCACCGACACCACCACGCACACGTGAGTACACACCGCCTCGCGCACCGACACCACCACGCACACGTGAGTACACACCGCCTCGCGCACCGACACCACCACGCACACGTGAGTACACACCGCCTCGCGCACCGACACCACCACGCACACGTGAGTACACACCGCCTCGCGCACCGACACCACCACGCACACGTGAGTACACACCGCCTCGCGCACCGACACCACCACGCACACGTGAGTACACACCGCCTCGCGCACCGACACCACCACGCACACGTGAGTACACACCGCCTCGCGCACCGACACCACCACGCACACGTGAGTACACACCGCCTCGCGCACCGACACCACCACGCACACGTGAGTACACACCGCCTCGCGCACCGACACCACCACGCACACGTGAGTACACACCGCCTCGCGCACCGACACCACCACGCACACGTGAGTACACACCGCCTCGCGCACCGACACCACCACGCACACGTGAGTACACACCGCCTCGCGCACCGACACCACCACGCACACGTGAGTACACACCGCCTCGCGCACCGACACCACCACGCACACGTGAGTACACACCGCCTCGCGCACCGACACCACCACGCACACGTGAGTACACACCGCCTCGCGCACCGACACCACCACGCACACGTGAGTACACACCGCCTCGCGCACCGACACCACCACGCACACGTGAGTACACACCGCCTCGCGCACCGACACCACCACGCACACGTGAGTACACACCGCCTCGCGCACCGACACCACCACGCACACGTGAGTACACACCGCCTCGCGCACCGACACCACCACGCACACGTGAGTACACACCGCCTCGCGCACCGACACCACCACGCACACGTGAGTACACACCGCCTCGCGCACCGACACCACCACGCACACGTGAGTACACACCGCCTCGCGCACCGACACCACCACGCACACGTGAGTACACACCGCCTCGCGCACCGACACCACCACGCACACGTGAGTACACACCGCCTCGCGCACCGACACCACCACGCACACGTGAGTACACACCGCCTCGCGCACCGACACCACCACGCACACGTGAGTACACACCGCCTCGCGCACCGACACCACCACGCACACGTGAGTACACACCGCCTCGCGCACCGACACCACCACGCACACGTGAGTACACACCGCCTCGCGCACCGACACCACCACGCACACGTGAGTACACACCGCCTCGCGCACCGACACCGCCACGCACACGTGAGTACACACCGCCTCGCGCACCGACACCGCCACGCACACGTGAGTACACACCGCCTCGCGCACCGACACCACCACGCACACGTGAGTACACACCGCCTCGCGCACCGACACCACCACGCACACGTGAGTACACACCGCCTCGCGCACCGACACCACCACGCACACGTGAGTACACACCGCCTCGCGCACCGACACCACCACGCACACGTGAGTACACACCGCCTCGCGCACCGACACCACCACGCACACGTGAGTACACACCGCCTCGCGCACCGACACCACCACGCACACGTGAGTACACACCGCCTCGCGCACCGACACCACCACGCACACGTGAGTACACACCGCCTCGCGCACCGACACCACCACGCACACGTGAGTACACACCGCCTCGCGCACCGACACCACCACGCACACGTGAGTACACACCGCCTCGCGCACCGACACCACCACGCACACGTGAGTACACACCGCCTCGCGCACCGACACCACCACGCACACGTGAGTACACACCGCCTCGCGCACCGACACCACCACGCACACGTGAGTACACACCGCCTCGCGCACCGACACCACCACGCACACGTGAGTACACACCGCCTCGCGCACCGACACCACCACGCACACGTGAGTACACACCGCCTCGCGCACCGACACCACCACGCACACGTGAGTACACACCGCCTCGCGCACCGACACCACCACGCACACGTGAGTACACACCGCCTCGCGCACCGACACCACCACGCACACGTGAGTACACACCGCCTCGCGCACCGACACCACCACGCACACGTGAGTACACACCGCCTCGCGCACCGACACCACCACGCACACGTGAGTACACACCGCCTCGCGCACCGACACCACCACGCACACGTGAGTACACACCGCCTCGCGCACCGACACCACCACGCACACGTGAGTACACACCGCCTCGCGCACCGACACCACCACGCACACGTGAGTACACACCGCCTCGCGCACCGACACCACCACGCACACGTGAGTACACACCGCCTCGCGCACCGACACCACCACGCACACGTGAGTACACACCGCCTCGCGCACCGACACCACCACGCACACGTGAGTACACACCGCCTCGCGCACCGACACCACCACGCACACGTGAGTACACACCGCCTCGCGCACCGACACCACCACGCACACGTGAGTACACACCGCCTCGCGCACCGACACCACCACGCACACGTGAGTACACACCGCCTCGCGCACCGACACCACCACGCACACGTGAGTACACACCGCCTCGCGCACCGACACCACCACGCACACGTGAGTACACACCGCCTCGCGCACCGACACCACCACGCACACGTGAGTACACACCGCCTCGCGCACCGACACCACCACGCACACGTGAGTACACACCGCCTCGCGCACCGACACCACCACGCACACGTGAGTACACACCGCCTCGCGCACCGACACCACCACGCACACGTGAGTACACACCGCCTCGCGCACCGACACCACCACGCACACGTGAGTACACACCGCCTCGCGCACCGACACCACCACGCACACGTGAGTACACACCGCCTCGCGCACCGACACCACCACGCACACGTGAGTACACACCGCCTCGCGCACCGACACCACCACGCACACGTGAGTACACACCGCCTCGCGCACCGACACCACCACGCACACGTGAGTACACACCGCCTCGCGCACCGACACCACCACGCACACGTGAGTACACACCGCCTCGCGCACCGACACCACCACGCACACGTGAGTACACACCGCCTCGCGCACCGACACCACCACGCACACGTGAGTACACACCGCCTCGCGCACCGACACCACCACGCACACGTGAGTACACACCGCCTCGCGCACCGACACCACCACGCACACGTGAGTACACACCGCCTCGCGCACCGACACCACCACGCACACGTGAGTACACACCGCCTCGCGCACCGACACCACCACGCACACGTGAGTACACACCGCCTCGCGCACCGACACCACCACGCACACGTGAGTACACACCGCCTCGCGCACCGACACCACCACGCACACGTGAGTACACACCGCCTCGCGCACCGACACCACCACGCACACGTGAGTACACACCGCCTCGCGCACCGACACCACCACGCACACGTGAGTACACACCGCCTCGCGCACCGACACCACCACGCACACGTGAGTACACACCGCCTCGCGCACCGACACCACCACGCACACGTGAGTACACACCGCCTCGCGCACCGACACCACCACGCACACGTGAGTACACACCGCCTCGCGCACCGACACCACCACGCACACGTGAGTACACACCGCCTCGCGCACCGACACCACCACGCACACGTGAGTACACACCGCCTCGCGCACCGACACCACCACGCACACGTGAGTACACACCGCCTCGCGCACCGACACCACCACGCACACGTGAGTACACACCGCCTCGCGCACCGACACCACCACGCACACGTGAGTACACACCGCCTCGCGCACCGACACCACCACGCACACGTGAGTACACACCGCCTCGCGCACCGACACCACCACGCACACGTGAGTACACACCGCCTCGCGCACCGACACCACCACGCACACGTGAGTACACACCGCCTCGCGCACCGACACCACCACGCACACGTGAGTACACACCGCCTCGCGCACCGACACCACCACGCACACGTGAGTACACACCGCCTCGCGCACCGACACCACCACGCACACGTGAGTACACACCGCCTCGCGCACCGACACCACCACGCACACGTGAGTACACACCGCCTCGCGCACCGACACCACCACGCACACGTGAGTACACACCGCCTCGCGCACCGACACCACCACGCACACGTGAGTACACACCGCCTCGCGCACCGACACCACCACGCACACGTGAGTATACACCGCCTCGCGCACCGACATCACCACGCACACCTGAGTAGATCTCTGCATTTAATATGGTATCTTCATATTTAAGATATCACCAACGTAAGAAAATATTCCATAACCACTACCGGATTTAATTTTTACTTAATTTTTTAGGGTATAGATGACGTAAATCAGCGAGCCTGCTACTGGGACTATGACACGGTCAAATGTAAACCAGCGAACTCATCAGATGACATCAGGTATTTATTATTAAAATTATTATTTATTTTTTAAAATAAACCATTTTAAAAATTCAGTAATATATTGTTATCAAGCTTATTATTAATAACAGGCTATAGGCAAATCGGTAATTTTTCTTCAGCCATTTGCATTCTCCGTCGTGGTGGCGCAGTTATGTGTTATTATGGTCATGCGTGATGATATTTGTATATATATACATCATTGTGGCGTGGTATCATTACGTGTATGTGTTATTGTCTCTCGGTAACATTTGTATATTATGTTATTATAATTATGCATTATTGCTGCGCGCGTGGTGACGGCGCCCCTGCTACAGACTGTTTATTTACTGATGAAGAAATTTACACTCAGAATCATTACGTCAAAAAAATAAACTTAGTTAGAGCCTATGTTATTTAATTTAATTAACCTAATGCAAATTTAATTTAGGAGCGTGTCCACGGGCGGCTGCAGTGCCCCGTGTTCCACGTACACGACGTGCGCCAACTGCACCGCGGAGGAGTGCATTTGGTGCGCATCGGCCGGTCGCTGCGTCGACAAGGTAATTATTATTTCTACTTTCTTAAGTTCCTGAAAGATTCTTTCTTTCAGCATTTGTTTGTCAGCATTTGTTAATGTCTTACTAAACATTTTAGAACTAGTAGCCAGTTTTAATTTTCATTTTAATTAATGGATATAATACGAATCAAAATAAAAAGTGATTTTAAACTCTTATTTTTTTTATACCACTATGTAGAGAATTTAATAGAGACCTGTGTTATAGTGTACTGAGAGTGAGAGTATTGAGGTGACAAAGGTGTAAGAGGCGCGGGGGAACGTGAGAAGGGCATTCGGGGCGGGTCTCAAGTTGATTTCTGCCCGTTGTAGTAACTCGGGCTTAAAGACCAATCGGCATATTTTTAAGAATACACGATCTTCATACATTTCATATTAGATACCGCACACTGTCTGAAAAACTTGGGACTGGGGTGGGGGGTTTGAAACTGACGAAACCGAATTATTATTAGAATATTTAATAATGGTAAATTTTGTACGCACGTAGCAGGCATAATGGAAAGAAAGAAAGAAAGAAATTTATTCACTACATATCATATGAATGATAATATTAGACATTAAAAAATCAAAACAATACGCATCAATCTTATGCTGATTAAAATAAAATAAAATTCTTTTCAATATTCTACATAATCCTACTATTCCGCTATATCTAAAAAATCGTTTTACTTTTGTTCATTCTCCAGATGTACCATGTAGGTCAAATACTAGAACATTGTTAAGATTTCCGTCTTTCAATACCATGCTCTATTCTCATTCTTTTTCTGTTAACGCAGTACGATTGTGGAATTCACTTCCCTTTAGGATTCGTGATACTAAATCGGTGTCTATGTTTAAAAGACTTGTTAAAGAGCACTATCACTCACTCCATAATTACTAAATCGTAATATGTTGGTATGCATATGAGTACTCGTAACATTAAAAATATATATTGAATCATATATATTTTTTATAATATATAATATTTATTTATATATGTATATACGTATATATATAAGTTTGTATATATTTGTATAGTATATGTATATTTATGCAAGTGCACACTTTGACTACCTCTATTTCCTTCAACTATCCTTCAATAGGCCTGCTGGAAGAAATTTCATCATGGAATAAGCAGTGCCTTTGTACATAATTATGTTTTTACTATTTTCTTATCAAATTATGTGTGTACATAAACTGTTAAATAAATAAATAAATAAATATTTTAACCGGGCGCACGGGATTGTTTGGCAGGCTCGTGAGCAGCAGAAATTCAATGTCAAGTCCTTTAGTAATTTATTTCCTTTAGTATTTTATATTTTAGTATTTTTTAAAACGTGACTGTTTCCTTTTCCTTACACAATAAGCTACTATAAAAGTAGTTGCAGCAAAAATTACACAATTCTGCATTTTGGATATTCGGTGGCTTTTGATGGCTCGGGTTCACTTCTGTGTTTTCGGACAAACTACTGAGGTTTATTTCGCGATGCCAAGTTCGCGAGCCGCACAACGAGGCTGTCGCGCGAACCGGGGTCCGCGTGGGTCCGGTGTGGATCCGCCTATTAAGTTATTGTAGTGTAATCGGTTGAAAATTTGCAAGTCAATTGGCCGTCTACAAGATGGTGAAAGTTACATTAAAATATCCCATTACGTAGATTTTTTATAGGAGAAGGGGCAAACGAGCATACGACTTACCTGATGGTAAGTGCTTATCGCCGCCCGTGAACAACTGCAACACCAGGGGAATCGCAGATACGCTGCCGGCCTTTTAAAAAGGAGTACGCTCTCTTCTTGAAGGTCCCTAAGCCGTATTGATCAGGAAAAATCTCTGGTGGTTGTCGATTCCACAAGGAAATTGTGCGAGAAAGAAAACTTCTTTTAAATCGCAGTGTTGGACTACCAGTCATTCAGATGGTATGGATGGTATATAGATACACGTGAAGCGAATAAAATCTTGGTAAAAAAGACAGTAATGGTGGTTATAATTGCAGCATGCGTAGGGAGGACTACGTGTGTGGGTGCGGCGGTAATTATTAGAATATTTAATAACGGAGGAATAAATAGAATTATTGAAACGAAATTTCTGAATGTGCAGCCGTTCCTCAAACGCAAGCGTTTCTTAAACGAAAATTTAGACCAAGACTTAAATTAGACCGCAGTGTAATGTTGATTACATTTGCAGAACGCGTACGGCGCGTCGTTTCCGCTGGGCGGGTGCCGCGCGTGGTCGACGGGCGCGTGCGCGGGGGGCGCGGCGGGCGCGGGGGGCGCAGCGGGCGGCGCGGGCGCGACGGCGGGCGGGTGCGGCGCGCACGCCGGCTGCGCTGCGTGCCGCGCGGAGCCCGCGTGCGGCTGGTGCGACGACGGCGAGGGCGGCGGCCGCGGCGTCTGCCTGCCCGGCGGACAGCGCCGCCCGCACCAGCCGCACGTCTGCCCGCAGCACAGGTCGGTGCGCTAATGATACCCAGGTAACGTTGCGGAACACTAAAGACTGAGGGTATAGTGTGCAGACTGTGACGCTCACACGTCTGCCGGCAGCATAGGACGGTACGACACTGAGATGCAAGTGACGGTGCCAGGAGTGAGGGTATAGTGCGGTGATAGTGTCACCCGTACGTCCACCCACAGTGCAGGTAGGTTGTTAAAATAACATTGTTAAAATAATATAGAGGAGTGCTGAAAGCCAACATTTATGTAATATAACCATTGAAGTAATATGTACTACGTGCTACGTACTAAAAGAAACGTTGCGACTTGGCCGTTCGCAACACGCATTATATAGCCCATGGGCCAAACTTATTTAGTCTGTGCGATAAAAAGGTACTCTGTGCCTTCTTCCATGCAAGACAAAGGCACTCTGTGCCGCCCGACACTACTACACAGATTTTTTCATGATGTCTATTCCAGTACATAGTACATATTATTATCTTTATATATAAAAAATACGTGTCACGTTGTTTGTCCGCGATGGACTCCTAAACTACTGAACTGATTTCAATGAAATTTTGCATACTGTGTGCATTTTGGTCCAACTTGAGAGATAGGATAGTTTTTATCCCGATAAATGACCCTCAAAAATTTTTTTTACGAATTTAAGGATTTTTATAGGAAGGGTCGTCGGAAAGGGCAGAACAACGTTTGCCTGGTGAGCTATAGTGCGCGCGGAACTAATTGGCCGCGCATTAGGTATGTGAGCGGTGGGACGGAGAGGCGGGGGCGCTTGCTGTCATAAGTCTCTCAGTGCTCAGTGCGGCGCCGTACTTCGCGACGGCAACACGCGTTGAACGTTCCGGCTAGTTTAGACAAAACGCACATGAGATTGCAATAGCGAGATGAGTCCGCCGATAAAAAGACAATCTAAGGAAATAATATTTAAAGTGCATACGTTTTTTAAAAAACGGAAAGCCGATGTTAATAGTTTAGAATATAAAACTGATGCGAATATACATAAAGTAGTAGCAGAAGCAACAGGGATATCAGAACGAAGTGTGAGGAGAGTGATTGCTGAAAGTAAAACTTCCTTGCAAAATACAGGGGAAGTAAAATCTAGTCCTCCGCGGAGACCAAAAGAAATAAAAAAGAAAATACAAGTGGATGATTTTGATTTAGGAGTAATAAGAAGAAAAATAAATCAGTTTTATACGGTAGAGAAAAAAATTCCAAGTCTACGAAAACTAAATGCTGTGTTAAAAGAAGATAATATTTTAGATTGCGGATTAACTTTTTTAAGAGAACTTTTGCACAAACTGGGATATTCATTTAAAAAATGTAAATCGAAGAGATCCCTTTTAATAGAAAGACCAAACATAGTTGAATGGCGAGTGACATATTTGAGCGCCATAAGAAAATTCAGAGAAGACAAACGAAATATATTCTTTTTGGACGAAACTTACGTTAACCAAACTCACAATGTCCAAAAATGTTGGCAAGCTTCGTCGGAGCCTGGAATTTATACATCTATAGGCAAATGAAGGCGTTTAATAATAGTTCACGCTGGTAGCCGGAACGGGTTAGTTGACGATGCTTTGCTAATTTTTAAATCAAATTAAAAAACGGGGGATTATCATGGAGACATGAACTCTACAAATTTTTACAACTGGGTTGATCGAAAATTAATACCTAAACTTCCACCTAACTCAGTCATAGTTATGGATAATGCTGCCTATCATTGTGTGCAAGTTGAGAAGAAACCGACTATGTCCAGTTTGAAAATTAATATGTAGAACTGGTTGCAAAATCATAACGTGCCATTTTCTCCCACGATGATCAAAGCCGAACTTTTGAGGTTGATTAATACGACCCAATCAGAAAAAATATATACTGTTGATGAACTTCTGAAAGCTGCAGGTCATACTGTACTAAGACTACCTCCATATCATCCAGAGCTCAACCCGATCGAGCTTGTGTGGACAAATATTAAAAACTGCCTGGCCAGAGATCACAATAATGCTACATTGGACGAGAAAATTACAATACTAACAAGGCTATTTTCCGAATTCTCTGCCGAACAATGGCAAAAATGCGATGACCGCGTACAAAAAAACGAATAAGAATACTGGAATCGTGATATGAGATTTGATACTATGATTTGTCTGATATGGACGAAATCATTATAAACTTCCAAGGTGATTCTGAATCAAGTTCAGAAAGTTCAGAATTAAGTGATTCAGAGGATATGTCAGAATAATTTCATGTACTTAATTTATTTTTGGTTTATTTTACTATTAATTACAATATAATTAGATTGGTACAATATAAACTTCTAAAAGTTCAATTGTTTTTTATTAGGTCATCACTGTCTAATCTCATGTGCGTTGCGAGCAGTAGGCAACCCGCGCCCTCACCCCTGTCGCCACCTAAGGCGCGGCCAACTAGTTCCGCGCGCATTATAGTAATATACATAAAATAAAACGTTTATTGTTGACGTTCACACTGCCAATGTCAATTGTCAAACACATAAATAGTCTATGGTTAAACAGTCACACAATTGTTGCCAAAAAGTTTTACAATGTTGTCAACAAAATAATTACTGACAGATTTATTGTAAATTTCGGGTCATTTTTAATTTCTTTTTAGGGTTCCGTACCTCAAAAGGAAAAAACGGAACGCTTATAGGATCACTTTGTTGTTCGTCTGTCTGTCTGTCTGTCTGTCAAGACCCTTTTTCTCAGGAACGCGTGGAGGTATCAAGCTGAAATTCCTATCAAATACTCAAGTCTACTGTCCCTTAAAGATGTGAAAAAGATCAAACTTCTAAGCCAACGCAATCAAAAGATACAGCCGGTTATGCCGTAAATTTTCGACATTCGCAAGGGAATCAAAACCTACAGGGTACTTGGTACGAAGCAACGTTTTATAGTACAGATAAAGGAAAAATTGCGAAAAGCATAAATTTTTAGTTTAGTATCATCATATAATAAAAATATTTTTAATAGTTTTAAACTTATATAGACTTAGATTTGTTCGGAACCCTCGGTGCGCGAGTCCGACTTGCACTTTGCCGGTTTTTTTCAATAGTCTGTGGTTCAATAATAAAATAAACGCTTTTTTTCATACAAGTGTATGCCAAAGCAAAAAAGCGTTTATTTTATATTTTGTATATTAGATATTTAATAATCATATTCAGATATGTTAGCAGAGGTAGATAAGGGACTACAGATCCATACTATTTAATATCAATTTTAGTAGTGCATTTGATAAGGTTGACCTTCAGATTCTGATAAACAAGCTTTAACTATACGGTAGCAATAAAATAAATAAATGTTTCGAATCTTATCTAAGCCAAAGAACTTACACGGTAGTAGTAACTGGGTTTAAATCTGATAGACACATTGTTCGCTCTGGGGTACCACAAGGTTCCCACCTAGGGCCTTTGTTGTTTTTGGCCTTTATAAATTATATTACCACAGATGTAAAGCGTTGCAAGTGGTCACTTTTTACTGATGACTTAAAAATTTATAACATTACAAAGTCAATAATAAAGACACTGTTTAGGCCCAAACATGGGCATTTGAAACGCTATTGACTGGGCGCATCACCCCATGGTGTGAGGTGACGTGCGAGCCACCGGGCGGGGGGGGGGGGGGGGGGTGCAGCGGTATGCCGCTTCCCGGCGTTCGGCCTCGTGGGCTAGCAACAGTAGCTTGACAGCAGCGGTTCGGTCGATTAGCGTATTTTGGTGACCGCTGCATCGATTTCGCGCGACCAGTTTTTTGGTTTGGTGGTCTAGAATTTGAGTCTTTGTGCGCGTTTCATTTACTATTGAATTTGGGTTTCGTGTAGACCGCCTCGAATTAGCTTGTCTAAGTTGTACGTTTCGTTACAAGAGGCTAGTATTGAATTTGAGTGATTAAAGTAATTTCGTTTGTAAGTAATTACGTCAATTGTATAGTGATTGCATGTTGAAGTGCATTTTGTAATATTTAACTTGCTTGTGTGACGTGGAACCTTGCGTGCACGCCGAGTGGACATACGGTCTGGAATTTGATGCTCGCATTCCATTTGGAGGGCGTGGCCCAGTTAATTGTTTTTGGAAGCTAAGTTGAATTGTACCGTCGCGTTAAGTGCCTTTTGTGTGTTGACTATGTAGTTAGATTGCGTGTCAGCTAGGCTGATTTTGAGTTCTTATCGCGGGCGTAGTATTTAATATCGTACATAGAAATTTTGTTTATGCCCAAATTTGGTCATGTTTGAACGCCACCCAATTGCGTTCGAGCTGGCGCCTCACCCGATGGTATGTAGGTGAGATAAGCACCGAGGTGGAGCGACCGTGCGCGGCTGGGTGGCAGTCTGTCGCTCGACGCGTGGTCGAAGGGTCTGCCAACTATCGGCCAATTTCAATTACCTCCGTACTCTGCAAGATTATGGAGCGTATATTGAACGCCCACCTCATGGCATACCTAGAGCAAAATGATCTCTTCAATGATCGCCAGTAAGTGTTTCGCCGAAATCGATCAACTGGGGACCCTAGACGGTCCCCAGTTGTCCCCGTGGTCCCCGTATGCCACTCACATATGGGGCGAAGCCCTCGAGAACAGTGGTGAAGCACTTGCTGTTTCCCTCGATGTTTCGAAGGCCTTTGACAGGGTTTGGCACGCTAGTCTATTGGGCAAGCTTTCAGCGTACGGCTTTTCCCCTGGCCTGCTTGCCTGGGTGAAGGACTTTTTGAGTGAAGGGTCTCCCCGGGTCGTCGTCGATGGCTCCTCATCCGGTACTGTAGCGACTAACGCTGGTGTTCCTCAGGGGTCCGTTCTCTCCGTATCTCTCATATTAATGACCTGCTAATTCCCTGTATCTATGGGTATGCAGACGACAGTTGTGGAGAGATACCAACCAGGTACCTGGGCCAGTCGGGATCAAATCCAGTCAGAAAGAGAGGCTATGGTTGAGCGGGTGAGTCTCACACTACAGGCAGTCTTCGAATGGGGCGATGCCAATCTCGTGAG